GGCAGCACATTCTCACGTATTCTGCTGCTTGTCCCTTCCTATCGGCCGCTTATGAGAGGCGCATCGGCCGCAATGCAGCGCGACAGCGCCCATGGTAGATCAGAAACTATAATTTTAATGCTCTGCAAAGATTATTATCAAAACTTCTTATTTTACTTAACGCATGGCGATCAGACACATGTATTCACTGCTGTATGAAGCAGATGTGTGGTAACAGCCCCCTGCTCTTCTCCGCTCTGCCCCTTTACCTGGTTTTTAACAGCTCCTTTGTGGACATGGTGGAGCGATTTAGTGTTCAAACTCCATGGATTATCATCAGAACTCATTGTTCCAGGCCAGGGATTCCCAAAGTGTGGTGCGCGCATCCCTGGGGGTGCGCGAGCTGCCGCTAGGGAGTGCGCGAGGTGAAAAGTGTAATGGCTGTGGAGCTCAGAGAAGTCTGTCATATGTCACCATTAGCGTAGCCAGAAACTCATTTGTGGGTGGGCCTAAAAAAAAGTAAGTGGGCCCAATAAACGCAATTGAAAACAAGAATATTTTTGCACTTGCGCGTGTCCTCCACATGTGCCCTAGCTTCATAATAACAATGCGCTGAGCTTCAGTACTCTGGCCTGCGCACGCCGATATGTTCCGTATTTGATCATTTTTAATGATGTTGGAGGAATCTGAAGGTGGCGAGTCATTCTGGCAGATTGTAATTAACACCCTGTCTCAGGCAGGTGTTCTGACATTGTAAACCTCACACACAGAACATTGTGGGTGTAACAAAATAAATCAAGAAATGATTCTCATTCAGGCTATTAACAGCACGCTGAAGATCTGAAGTTCAAAGTGCGTCTGTCAGAGGTCAGACGCGTTCCAGCAGAACCACGGCTCACGGGTGCACAAGTGAGCACATCTGGGCTGGGCAGAAGTGATTTTACAACATTGGTTTAAATAGCGCCAATAACGAGATGCGGTGACTGGAGCGGCTCATGGAGCTGTGCCGCGCGCGCATACACACACACACACAGATTCAATAAGCGCGCGCGCTGCGCAAACTCCGGCGCACCGTCAGACTGAAGACAGAAATGAGCGCTGCTTCCTCTGTGATAAAAACTTTTAAGAGGTTTTATAACAACATTTTTCATTCCAGGTCAGATTAAGATATTAGCTTCTATTTTGGGATGACGTATTAAAGTCGGGTCCGCTCCAGCCAGTGACTCCGAACCTGAACTCATGTTACTGCAGCATTTGTTATTCCAGTCCGCGTGGCAGCGGATCGCAGATTCAGTCACACCATAAAACAGCAATAAGTCGGTCTGAGGCAAAAGTGAACCTCATGGCTTTTCCATATTTTCCCCTATAGACATTTGATTACGCACAAGTAGCTGATCAGTTCAGGTTTACGCAGAGCAGAAGGAAGGAGAGCGCTCTGGCCGCACAGGTTAAACGTTCCTACTTTAAGAAAACCATTAAATTGCATTGTTTATGTTCTACCTGGGCACTCTAAATATTTATTTAAAATTAAATCAAAGGAAATCGTAATGGTATCGAATGTTTAATAATTACTATTTAAAAAATGAAAGTGATGGGGAAAAAGGTCGATCATATTTTTTTAACCCTGTCTGTTTAGCTTGACGTCTGATATATATATATATATATATATATATATATATATATATATATATATATATATATATATATATATATGTATATATGTATAGCCATGTCCTGATGTGGGGGCTGGGGGGTGCGTCGACATGGTCGGGACATAGAAGGGGGTGCGTGGCTAAATAAGTTTGGGAACCACTGTTCTAGGCAATGCAGGACGTTCCAACTGATTTATTATTTGATGTAATATTTGAGGAGAAGAGTGTTGAACTGTCCCGCTGCCCGTCACTTTCTCCCTTCTGTCACCGTTTCTCCTTCTCCTGCCACCCGAGGCTGGAGGAGAAACTTGAGGGGGGGAAGCACGACCGTGATGTTTTTAACGCACTTGTCCTGTTCCCAACACATCTGATAACCACAGGCTAACATGAAGCAGAAAAAGTAAATATAATGTTTTTATTTAACTCGCCATCCATTTAGAAAACTGCAGATATTTCCATCCATTTCATCTCCATTCTCATTATTTTCCCTCCGGCTCTGGTGGAAAGCAGGGACGACTGGGGGTAACTCTAATTAATCTTCCCTTAAAGATGTACAAGTGTATTCAAAACATGTGTGATGTTGACCAGTAGAAAGGACTTTCAGCAACATAGGAATGACTAATATGGCAGGTTTGTGAATCCAATCACTGTAAAGTAATGTTCAGGGAAAACATTTGGACAGTTTCCTTTTGGAAATTTCTTCCAAAAACAGTTTTTCTCCCATTGAGTTGTACTGCTTGGACCTAGCCTCTAACTGCAATCTGTGATCAATAGACTAGCAGAGAAGAGTGAGCTGCTTAAAAAGCTGCTCCACTGATAAGGTGGGAAATATTTAATACAGTTATCATCACACATTATAGATGTTGTAATTCCTTATGTGTTGTTTTAATGATCCTTTACAGATTTATTGTGCATGGGTATTAATCCTTAATTTTTTGTGATCATGTACACTAAATCATCACTTATTCTCTATTTCAGGCTGATCTGATATATTTGAGGAGTCGTTCTCTCTGTTCATTGTGGACTTGTTCGAAGACCTGCTTTCTGTCTGCTTCCACTGTACCAAAGTTTGGCTGTTGAGTCTCTTTTCAAATGGTAAGTTAAAATGTTTTATGAACTCATACTTAATTGTGGATTATTGGAGACTATTGTTTCCCATGTCCCTCACAGTTTGGCCTCATGACATGTGTTCCCCCCGTCCATGTTTGAGGACCTGCTTTCTCTCTGCTTCCACTGTACCAGAGGTTGGCTGTTAAATGGTAAGCTTATAATGTTCTATAAAATCCTACTTAATTTGGGAAGATAAGAGACTTAACCATGCATCCCATGTTCCTTTCAGTTATCTATTGATGGTTTCTGAGTCACCGCTAAATCAAAGAAGTTTCAGGTCTAATGCTGCTATTTATTAAGATCATTTATCAGGATACGTAGTTTTTTTCTCATTATGTGTTTCATTCAAAATATCAGCTGGACAAAAATGTGGAGTCATTTACGAAATCCCATGCAAACTCTGCAATAAGACATACATAGGAGAAACCGGATGCCAACTCATCACAGGAACAATAGAACATAGAAAGGAGTGCGAGAAAGAGGCAAGTCAAAGACACACAAGAGCAGCAAAAGAAGAAGCAGAAAGTGCAATAAAAAAGTCAGACGTAACAGACCATTGCTTAAGAGAAAACCATATAATGGACTGGGACAACACACGGATCATAACCACTGAACAACAAAAATACAAAAGATGGATCAAAGAAGCAATCGAGATAAGGAGACGTGGATGTGGGACCATGAACAGGGACGACGGAGTTTACACGCTGGACCACGCAAGGGACTGCATCGTCGGAGAGGGGAGAGCGGGCAGTAGAGGGCGACAACGTCCTCTGCTGCCCGCAGAAAAACAGAGAAGGAAGTGACGCGCCACCATCAGCGTCAGCCTGAAGAAGCCGGCAGCTGTCGGCGAAACGTAGCATCAAAAAACAGGTAACAAAACCGTTTCTGTGTTTTAAAAAAAGAACAACAACATGGAATCACTGTAATACTTCATTAATATCTGACCCTGAATAGAACAATGTTGTGTCATCAGCAAATAAAACAGTACCGAGTAGCTTAGATACACTTACAAAATCATTAATAAATTGTATGAACAGTTTAGGTCCAAGGACCAACCCTTGTGGCACACCATAATGAATCTCCCGCAGTTCTGATTCAGTGTTGTTTAGTTGGAAAAATTGTTTTCTATTCTTTAAATAACATCTAACCCACTGGTGTGCTCTTATTCCATACTGATGTAATTTCTGAAGTAACCTCGAGTGATCGATAACATCAAAAGCTTTCTTCAAGTCAACAGTTTTTATTGTCCGGGTCTGTTTTTAACAAACACTGGGTGTACACTACAAGATTTTTACAGTCACAGACTAAAAACTTGAAAGGTAGCACCAGGGCTCTTCCCATTAGTCTTGCTGCCCCACCCTTAGTCATGACACAACCTCTGTTGTTATTTGACACTATAATGAATTCAAACTGATTGCTTGATTGATTGATATAGCTGTCAATTTTAGTCCTTGAGTTAATTTACATTCTTTATTTGTTAACTATCACAGAATGTGACTATCCTTTGTAGTATACAGAGAGGAGACTCTGAAAATTTTGCCGACTTCTACGAATTGTCCGCGGCTAATGTAGTGGGCTGGTCTGAAGAGAAAACTCCAGGGCCGAATTTTGATCCCAGTCCACCCCTGGACATGCGCATATTAGGGCTGCACAATTCTGGTTAAAATGAGAATCAGGATTTTGCTTAGAAGTGAGACCTCAATTCTCTCATGATTTTTTTCCAGATTAAGTGTTTATTGCACTGATTACATGCACATCAACTTTATAACAGCTGTCGCTGAACATGAAAACAATAAATGTCTCTCGTCGTCTCAACCCTCTGGAGGCAGGTGTTAAAACCTACCTACCTGGCTACTCCACATACGTATTTCATGAGCATTTTTAACTCAGAAGTACCCCTGAAGGACTTAGTTGCTCATCCTTTTATCAAAACTTATTTTGAGCCTGAGAGGGTTAAAGTAAATGAGGGTTAAGTACACAACTTTTGAATAAGTTAAACACTGATGATGAGAGAGGTAGGTAATAGGCATGTTTCTTAAAAAGCAAACCATGGTTTTTAACAAAATAAAACATTTAAAATGACAACATGATTGTTGATGACCATGGCAGGACCAGAACAGAGAACACAGTCCTTTTTTTATCTAGCCAGCTGCTTAAAATCGTTGTCATTTGGAATTGAGATCACGATTAATTGTGCAGCCCTAGCACACACCCAAAATGAGAAATGATTCAATGTTTTTTGATAATTATTGATCTCTCTGCAGCACAATCACTAAAAAGCCTCAGGAAAACTGTGCATGCCAACACCTAAGTGGGTGTGAAGTGTGACAAAAGCATCTTTTCATGGTTTTCTATAAAATAAGTCTTTGAATCACTCTTAGTCTGACCTCTCAGCTGAGAAAGCTCTGCCAGGGTAGACTCACCTGGAGCCGAGACCCCGACACAACAGCCTTCAGCCTTCATAGAGATGCACAAACCCAGCCACCGCGTTAAGGTGGTGATTCAGCGGATGGGATGCACTCACTCACTCACTCACTCACTCACTCACTCACTCACTCACTCACTCACTCACTCACTCTAGGGCTGGGCAATAAATAAAAAATGCATTGTAATCAAAATGTCTGACTCTTATCGAGATCATTTTGCCACGTCAATAAATTTTATCATAAAAAAAAGAAAATATGTGTGATGGTTGGCATCGTTCATGTCCCTTTAAGAAGCTTTGAGTCACGTAAAAATGGCCGTGTTCGAGATGAGCCAGTTCGGTGCAGATTAGATCACCGGTGATCGGCGGGCAGTGCATGCCGGTCAGATTTGTGTCCGACTTGCTCTTACGGCATGCCTACGTAGGCATCGTGAGATCAAGGCGGCCGCAGATTTTGGAGCAAAATTCTGCAGTTGCTCTCCACCGGTTGATGATGGGAAACGCCTGGCTCACCTGATCTAAGATCTGATTGGTTCCCATCTTGATCCAAACATCCGGTGGTAGAATGCGAAATGTTAGTTGGTCACATGTGTTTTGTCTTCTTTTGTCACGTTTCCTATGAGCACACTAAAACTACAGCTGATAAGCTTTACTTTTGACAACAGTTATGTCTTCATGTGCACATGTCTACAACATATGACATCCACACGCATCTGAGGATGTGTTTCAGTTTCTAACAGGCACCAGAAATAAAATAAAAAGTTAAACAAGTATGAATTCTAACGCGATATCTTCACCCATCGTCACCCGCGAGCTACACATGTAGGGAAATCTGTCCCACTTAAACACCGGCTTTCAGCCACTCCCCTTGCTGCGTCCGTCTGCTCTCGTCTCTTTTCCAGGCGAGGCGCTGCTCAACTCGAACACGGCCATTGACTCAGCGTAATACATGTGAAAACTTTTGTTTCTGCGCATGCCTGTAGCTATCGTCCATGTATCGTTATCTAGGTGAAATCCTCTTTATACCGTTATATTGACGTTGGGTGATATCGCCCAGCCCTAACTCACTCACTCATGCATTCACTCACTCACTCACAGCCAGAGACGTGTGGGGGGAACCGGAGCACCCGGAGAAAACCCACGCATACATGAGGGAGAAAATGCTAACTTCACATGGAAAGGATTTGAACCGGTGACCTCGCTGTGAAGCTAAACTTTCTACATCGTCTCCAACATGCAGCCCCGTTTTTTTCCCCTCTGGCTGTGTGTGTTCTGGGGGGGGGGTTCAACCAGTCACATGATCTGTTTATGACGTGGTTTTGTGTTTCCGTCGACACGCCGGAGTCATAAACTTTTTAAAGCGTCTCCACATAGAAACACTCTTCTGGTGTCTGACTGTCTGTGGACGGTCCTCTTTAGGTGGAGAGTCGTCATCATGGAGACTTACAGATCCAACCAGTTCTGACTCATGACAGATTTCAGTCGGAGGACAAACGTCTGTGTCCGTCTTACAATCCTGAGTAGGATCTGTCTCCAGACTCTCCACAGGTGTGTGTGGTTCTGGTGAACTCCCTTCAGAAGCAGCCTGGAGCTCAGAGCAGAGACGGTCTTGGAGCTGCAGTCTCAGGGCTTCAAACTCTTCTTCATGCTGCTCATTAATTCTGAGTTTCTCCAGCTGAAGGTTTGTGATTGCCCTATAGAGTCTGGTCTCTGTGTCCTCCATAGTCTGCAACTTGCTCATGAGGTCTCCATTCTTCTTCTGCAGATCTCCAATTTCTTTTTCTAAACTCTGATGAACTGAGTCTTTGTTGTGACTGTTCTGTAATTCTTGCTCTAACTGCAGGCTCTGCTGGTTTAAACGTTCCTGCAGATCTTCACAGACACTTTCCTTTTTCTGCAGCTCATTCTGTAAAGTCTGCAGTCTGTTTAGTCTGGTTTCTGCAATATCCTGATAATAATCCAGTCCCTGCTCTAATTCATTAATTTCTATCAGTAATTTCTCCTTACTGGTGTCTTTTTTCTGCAGTTTTTTCTCTAACTCGACTCTCAGCTGCTTTTCTTTGTTAAAACGTTCTTCCAGTTTTACACAGAGAGAAGATTTCTCCTCCAGCTGTGCAGACACCTCATCCAATGTCTTCTTCATGGAGTAAAAATTCTCCATCTTGGCTTTAAGATCTGTGTTTTCTTTCTCTAATTCTCCAATTTGCTTCTTGAAGTTCTGATTGTTTAAATCTTTGTAGACACAGTTCTGTTCGTCTTCTAGCTGGCGCCTGAGCTCGGGCTCGTCCTCTAAACGCTTTTGGAGATCTGCACAGACACCTTCCTTTATCTGCAGCTGAATTTCTAAAGCCATAATTCTTTTGTACTGGGTTTCTGCCTCACTTTGATGGAAACCCAGTCCCTCTTTCAGTTTACTGATTTCTTTCTTTAAGTTCTCGTTACTTGCGTCTTTCTCAAAAATCTTCAGTCTTTGGTGGAGTCTGATCTGATACTCCTGTTTTAAACGCTTTTGGAGAACTTCGCATAAATCATCTTTTTCCTTAAGTTGAATATTTAAAGTTCTCACGTTTTCTTCATGGGTCTCTGATTTGTTCTGGTAATAATCCAGTCCTTGTTCCAGTTCATTAATTTCTCTCTTGTAAAAAGCACAGTCAGACTCAGCCTTAATTCTGTGTTTCTTTTCGGTTCTCAGAGACTCGTTTGCACATCTCAGATGGTTTTCGAGTTCACTCACCTGCCTTAAAAGTTGTTCCATGTGTTCATGTTTTTCACAAGCAGCTGATTCCTGCTGGACTTTTCCAGATCCAGGAGTTTTTTCTAGTGGTTTCAAATCATGTTCGGAGCTTTCTTGGTCGTCTCCGTCAGAATCAAAATTGATTTTCAGATTGTAATCCACTTCTGGATCTTCAAGGCACATCTCATACCAAGACAGTTTTGTTTGACTAGAGACGTTATTTCCAGGCATTTCTGGGTCTTTGTGTTAAATATTCTTGTGTTTGAGAGAGAAAGTCAAAAACGCGATGATTCTCACGAGAGCTGTGTCACACGTGTGTTAACAGTGAGCTGTGGATACTACTACTGACTGATGAGCCTTTGATGATGTCATATAGAACACATGCAGTCATCTCCTTTATGTGTCTGCTTGTCTGCTGCTCCTCCAGGTCCCCCCCCCCACCCCCCCACCCCGTCCTTTTTTTTTTTTTCTCAGAACGGCACTGCTCTGGGTGGCTGCATGTTGGAGTAGCTCTGTTGACTATATGTAAGTTTAGCCTTTTCTTGGGCATTTTTTCTTCTAGTTTCTCAAGAAAAACTGTATTTTTTGGACACTTGACTTTTCTGTTTCTGGTGCTGTGAAGCTTGGAGGATTTTTACTGCTAATTTTTAGCTTTTTTCACTTTTTGAACATTTGTTATGATGCGTAACCATGGCAACAAGCTGGTTTGCAATCGGGAGCAGCTGATTAACATTGGAAAGGCAGAAATAATATCTCAACTGAAGCCACAAATCCCAAATGAGCTAAAACGCAAGAAGTGTGGGTGCAGAGTGGGAGCAAAACAGAGACAGAGAAAGAGGAAATTCAAACCATCTCTTCCATCGATCATAATGGGCAACGTGAGATCACTGGCCAACAAGATGGAGGAACTCCAAGCCCTTTCAAGGACTCAGCCAGAGTTCCGGCGGTTTCTGAACCACTGGAGGAGATAATGCAAAGAAGGATTCTCCAGAGAATCAAGAAAATGATGGACAACCCTGAGCATTCTCTTCACAAGACTGTCTGACAACGGAAGAGTGTCTTCAGTCAGAGGCTTCTTCAGTTTGGCTGCAACACTGACCGCTACTGGAGATCCTTCCTGCCAACAGCCATTGTAATATACAATAACTCTTTGATGACTTGATTATTGTTATTATTCTGAGCTACTACAGCAATCAATTTCCCTCTGGGAATAATAAAGTATTTTTGAATTGAATTGAATTGCTTGTCTGCTGCTCCTCCAGGACCCCCCCCCCCCCCCCCCCCCCGGGGTCCTGGGCTCCCGTTGGTCTCCCCCAGTCACCCCTCTGTAGTTTTTCTATAGGTTCAGCTTTTCATTTAATTAGTCTCTTTTAGTGTGTTTCTTTCCCCACTGGTTTTTTAGTTCTCCTCCCTCCTTAGATCATTATTTATTTATCTTGCTCTTCTTGTCTTTAGGTTTTGTTTTTATTCTTAGGTCATGTTATTTTCCCCTCAACAGCTCACCTTCCTCTCCCTGATTAGTTAACTGATTTCACTAGGTTTCTCTCCCGACGTAAATCCGTTTTACGATGGTGAATAACTTTGCAAAAAAAGTGTGTGCCACTCTAAATTTGCATTATTATCAATGAGATATGCGCATAATTTTTATTTGTTTCTTGACTTATATTTAAGGAGGATAAAACCACTTGAGATTAAGCATCTCGTTTACAAGTGAGCAGAGGAAGAAAGTAACGAAAGTAAAAATAAATTGTAGCTTGATGAATTAAAAATATTGCCTGAGCGCCACGTCTAAACCGTGGTGGTGGTGGTGGTGGTGGTGTGTGTGTGTGTGTGTGTGTGTGTGTGTTTGTGTGTGTGTGTGTGTTTCATCAACATAAATATAGGTTTTTTTACACATATAGGACTGCATGAGACGCTGGTTTCATCAAATCTATGCATCTTATTTCTTGGCTGAAGTAATGGTGAACAAAATAACTTGTATTTCATAAATAATGACGTCTCAATAGTGTCTATGATAATGTTTTATCTTATATTGTACCTATCTTTGGTCTGGGAGGTGTAACTTATCATGATACAAGCCTTTTAAAACATGTTAAAGTGTTACAAGAGGAGATAAATGCATGAATTTAAAGTTCATGTTTGGAGACCAACCTTCACAGTGTGGAGGCTCACGCTGGTGAGGAGACACCGTTAGTTGTAGTAACACCTGGGCTCCCAAGGCCTGTTCTGACAGGATGGACGTTACGGGACCCTTAAGGATTCCAGTTGGATGATTGGAGGATTATTTAGGAGGATTGGAATGAACACACTGATTTCTGTGGTGAAGGGTTAAATGAGTGAGTGAACCCACTACCAAGGATGAACTCTAACTTTAAAAATCAGCTGCTCTAAATAAGCATGAAGGTCAGAAAGGAGCTCTAGGATGGACATGAATAAAGGAACTGTAATGTAGAGGTAAAGTAGGGCAGGGCCAATGTTAGCAGCTGTCATACGGTCCATTTGAAATGTTTGAATTTTATTTAGCTTGTTATGTTATGTGACAGGTTAGAGCACAGTCTCATGTTAGAGTTTTGTCATGAAACATTGAGATACCTCACATGCTGATGGGAGCTAAAAAATATACTTTTTTTCTCAAACTAAAGAATAATTTTAATCACAATTGAGATCTACAGTCGTAGAAAAACCTCGTCCAATCAGTGTGCACGTCCTGTTCTCACTGACTGGATAGAAATCCCTCCATCAAACTGTGTGTGTGTGTGTGTGTGTGTGTGTGTGTGTGTGTGTGTGTGTGTGTGTGTGTGTGTGTGTGTGTGTGAGAGAGAGACACTAGGAAGCTTTTTGAAAGTGGTAAGTACTGTCATTACTCTCCCTCCACAGTTGTGTCATCCCACATGTCAGCGTTATGTAATCTACGGGTGAATTTTTTAACAGACTGAGTTAAGAGTCAGCAAATGGAGCCGTAATGGAGTGCATGACCCACTTGGAAAGGAAGGAGTAAAACCAGAAGGCTTGAGAGTCTGTAGATGGGACGTTCTTCTTTTGTTTTCTGCAGTTTTTCTCATACGTGTGTCAGGTCTGAGAACAAAAATGCAACAGCAGATCATTTTCTTTACAAAGATTTAGCACACAGAACCACTTGATAGAAATCCAAAAATAGTTGCATCCCAATTGGCAACATGTCTCTTGTGTGTAGACCTTAGTTACACAGCTGCATTAATTTACCTGCAAGGTGAGAATGGGTAACGTAGCTCCCACCAGCTGCAGGATGTTTGAGTTGCTGGAATGACACAAAAATATATAAATCAGAAACCGTTTTGTGCATCTTCCTAACAAACCAACCTTGGCTTTATTTTATCACATCTCCTCAGACATTGCATGATGAGATCGTAACGGTTACTTGCAATACGAAGAAGAAGAAATTGACACATTTGTTTCTCAGAATTACACTGAAACCATCAACTTCATACAAGGTTATTTTTGCAAAAGAGTCACTTTTCCAAGCTGCTTTGCTACAAGTAAATAAATAATTATAATTAATTTACCGTCAATAATACTAATGCTGCATTCCACTTTTATTGTTAATCTCTGAAAATATCCATCAAATTTTTATTGAAAATTATTGCCGGCTTCAGAACATATAACCATAAAAATAAGGCCTAAAGTACATGGGAGTCTCAGGGTGACGCTATATTAGATGCCGCGTTTCCTTCTATGGGAGCCTGTGAGGACCAAATGTGACCTGGATGTGGTCAAAAAAGTGAACTGTCAAATTAAACAACTCTTGCCTAGAAAATATCTTGTTGATTCAAGTTAACATTGTTTTATAAATCAACACCAACTTTTATTCACATTACAAAGTGAATCCAGCTGTTATTCTGACATTTCTGCAGCAATCGCCCCAGACTGCACAGGTAGCAACTGCTGCTGCTGCCGTTTACGCTGCAGCTATCTATAGCATCCTCTTAACTGAAACAGGTTATGCAAAACTGATGATGGCTTATAAAGTATTGTTTATGAACCAATATAAATTCTGGAAAGTGAAGTTGTTTTCCTTTTGCACCACCAGCCACGCCTAAGTCAGCGTGGTAGCAGAAACTGGTTTACACCGGTTTCAGAGATTTAATAACAGGTTTTACCAATCAGAGCCTCCAAAAATGAAATATCTCAAAAAAAAGTTTATGATTTTACTGCTGTGGAAACACAAAATGTCCTGTATGTCAATTTTTTCCGCAAGTTTTATTGATCTAGGTCTAAAACCTAAAACCATACTAAAAGTTGTAGAAGCTGAGCAATGATGATGCAGTTTTAGGCATTTTCTTTAAAACCAGAAAAGCCTTTAAAGTGGAAAAGATGCAGAAACTAACTGGATCTTATTTGGCCGCTGAGCCATGTACAGGTTAGATGCATCCAATAATGTAATCATGAACTCACTTTGAATATAGGAATGCTTTGATGAAGCTGTTAAAACAAACAACAAAGGAAGTTTTTGATGATATGGACCATTTTATGCATGGATGAATGTACACAGAGGCAGCAGTGATGAAAGTGGGAGAAGACACACGTTGTGCAGCTTCTGATGAGCTGGCTCATGTGATGTGAGCACCCTGCTAGGAACAGCAGGAGAGCCTCACTCCAAGGATGTGAGTTCATTATCCTGCTCACACAAATATACCGAGGTGTCCTCCAGCCAGATTGGTGACTGACCATCTGCTCTATGAGTGTCGAACACCTGGGAGGTGTTCCCCAAAGGGAGATAAAATGTACAGTGTCTTCATGTTGACAAGAATTAGGAAGAATCAAAGCAATGTACCTGTTTTAAATCTCACCCTCTCCTAATCAGATTTCTTTTGTATCTACTCCTTCCATTACTCTAGAAGGTGCAATACAGGCCATTTACTATATTTTCTATCAGAAGCTAATGCTGGAGATAGGTGTAGGAAACCATTTTCATGTTTAGCCTGCATGAAAAACAGAGTGACTGATTGCAATCAGAAAAAAATCATTACAAAACGCTTTTCAATAAAAACGCTTTAAGCTAGCTGTTTTCATTAAAGGTGTTATGGCTAGCTGTTAGCTCATCTGTACTTCCCCAAACTGAGGCCTTTTAAATAGCTGTCTAAAACAGGCTGAACTGAAATGACCTAAAGTTGTTCCTTAGCCATCAGGAATGAACAACTTTGTGTGGTGTGGTGATTCCTCAGTAAATGTTCTCGGTGTTAGCTCAACCAACCAATGAACATATTCTATTATGAAACACAGATTGAGCACTCACTCACACACAAACACACTCACACACAAACACACACACACACACACACACACACACACACACACACACACACACACACGTGCACACAGACACATCCTAAAGCTTTTTTATTTATGTTTTCATTGTTTATGGATGCAGAGAGACGGGTGCAGAGGGAGCAGGAGAGGTGGTGGGGAACCATGTTTTTGAACAGGTTGCCGATGATCACAGAGTCTTAGGGGCCAGTGTTAATGATTTATTCATGGATCCTTCTGGCCCCTTGTGGCCCCTGGGAATACACCAAACAGATGCAGGGGGGGGGGGGGGGGGGGGAAGATAAGGAGGAGGATGCAGAGAGGGGAGAAGTGATGTGGGGCAGAGGGGAAACAGTACTGGGATGGATGGGAAGGAGGAGAGAGGGAGGAGAATGTTTTACGTTATTGGACAAGTGCTGAAAACCTCAGACTTGGTCAGGTTCATCAACTGATGATGTCAGTAGTTTATAACTGCACACTGAATGAAACAGTTCTGCTGTATATCCAGATGTTCTACTTGGAAGATCACACAGTAGTAAGAACTAATGCATCTGATCATCTCCGTCCTGTCATTAGCTTATTAAACAATTACCCAAAAATAGTTACAGTCCGTCTCTATAATCACTGCAGACAGCAAGGGCAGCATTTCCAATGTTGATCAGAAACAATGATTTTATTTTCTCTTTCTACTCTTGTCTCAGTGTGAATCAGTGAAGGATAATCAAAAACACTCGTGAAGATATCTTAGCTCAGTTGTATCTAAGACATTCTGATGTTTCTTTTTTTTTTTTTGTTCAAATGCTTGTCTCTGAAGCTCCTACTCCATTTTCCTTCAGGTTGTTTATCCAAGCCATCTGAAATCTCTGCACTAATCAGAGTTGTACTCAAAGGTAAGATAAAGGCTTGCCAAATCCTTCCAGCGAAAAACTTCACAGCAATTTGCCTCGCGTCGTGTGTCGCTCATGAAAAGATCCATGTCGCAGCCTTGTCTTGATGGAGTGGCAGATATCCACAGAGAATTGCTATCTTTGTTTGTTATTGGAACATCAGATGTCATCGTTTTTAAAAGGCATGTGGCAAATTTAGAATTCCTGAGATGTTTGTTGAGCAATAGAAAATGTCAGATGAAGGATTTGGACTTGAAACTTGGCCCAGCATCTGCATAATTTAGGATGACGTTGCCCTAGTTCTGCAAACTCTTGCTTTTGACCTCCAGTGAAATGCAATTTGTTGGTAGCAGAGCAACTCCCTCTTCTGGACAGCATCATGTCTACAGTTCAACTTTCCTTCTGCCTTTTAAATGTTTATTGGTGCTTACTTGATAAAAGATGTTCTGTGGTACTTTTTCTCTCTCACATATGTTGGCTTTTCTCACACAAAATATTTTATGCACACAAAATCACTCTCAGCAAAACAGCAACTAGAATATGGTGCATTGTTTCATTATAAATTATTGAAATAAGTTTTTTCAGACCTATAGATGGAGTCAAATCAAGCTTTGCTCACACTCCTCATCTCTCCACCGCTGCAGAAACTTTGATGTAAATCCTTAAAAAGGGCAGAGGCTGGCGTTGAAGCTGTGCATCACCATGGCAATGCAGACTAAAAGATATCCATTTTCATAAACAGACTCTGCCGATTGGGCAACACATTCTATATCACGGGAATGTAGAGCCAAGAGGAGAAGCAAACACACTCAAATGGACTAAAACAGCCGGCCTGTTTAGCTGATGAGCAGGAGAGACATGCATGGTTAATCTCTCCTACATCAGATAGTGATGGTATCAGGACATGAAGCAATTAAAAATAAACTAGTCTGCACCCTGGAAAAACAATACACTTGCCATTAACACAAAATGGACCAGGACACAGAATCAGTGTGTGGAAAGCAAAGCCCTCCCCATGATTAAGTAGCTTGTAGAATCACCATTAGCAGCATTAACTTGAAGTAATTGTCTTCGTTATGACCTCAACGGTCTCTAACATTGTTGTGGCTCGTTCTTTTCTTTTTAACAACTCTACTGAGGTTTAATGAGCTGTGCGTTCACTCATTCACATTTATATTAAGATCCAGCCTCAGCATTTCGATCAGGTAGAGGTCGGACGTTGACTTGGCTACCTGTTCACCTTGATTCTGCTTTAGCTGTTTTGTAGCAGCTGTGATCCAGATTGTTGCAAGAGTGAAGTTTTGGTAAAAGTTGCAACGACCGAAAAAGATATCCTAATGTCTGCCTTCTGAATTCTTTGGAATACAAGCGTTACTAATCCACACACTGTTGGCTTTTTAAATTGTGTGAAAAGTCAACTGCATTTATTTCACACTGGAGTCATCTACAGAGCTTGCCTACTACATGTAAAATATTAGGTTCTCAAAAGCTTGCATAATGAACACACTGAACCATCTATTTAAAGGTGTGGCTCACTCGTGCAGTGGTCTCCAGTAGGAATGAATGCCTTGTAAGTCGTACTCTGGGTACAAAAAGTCCCGGTGCGCCTGTTTCTGGATCAGAGGAGAGCTTCAGAAAACAGGACTGATATTTGGACACCTCATCTCTGATTGGCTAACAACGATGCAACTCTACCACTGAATCTGTTTACTTTGCAATGTTGATGTTTTATTTCCACAAATCTTACAAGCCTAGGGGAGTTTTGCCATGTGGTGGAGTTGCTAATGCTAACAGTTAGCTTCAACCAGCCAAGACACTTTCTGCTGTTTGCTGAACGCTACACCAACAACAGCCTTCCCCGTCGTGAGTCAGAATGGATGAGTCCATCATCGTTAAGTGGCAGTGTGAAGTAGATCTATCAGGCTTTTGCAATCCTAGAGTTTCACTGCCTATTTTCTATCAGAAGCTAATGCCGAAAATTGGTGTAGGAGACTATTTTCAAGTTCAGCCTGCATGAAAAACTCAGAGTGACTGATTATAATCAGAAATTAGTATAAAAATGTTTTATCAGTAAACCGTACCTTCAATGTTTGTAGCAGCAATTCTA